GTTCCGGGGTGCCAAGTTCAGCACCTTACCTGCCCACGGGATCTGACCCCGCTTAGTTAGGTACACCAGACAGGCTGCCAATGCTTTCTCGATCGAGAGTCACAATTTTGCGCAGCCTGTAAGCCCCCAGATCTCACCTCTCAACCGCAGCAATCTTGCCATGTTGTCCCACACTTCCGCATCTGAGGGCAAACACCATCAATCGGAGTAATACTCCTCCTCGTTGATCTCATCCAGGTCAGTGCCATCCCCAGCGTTGTCCGTCGGCTTTTCCTCATTTAGCCATCCCTCGTATGCCAGCCTTGTCCTCGCACGTACCAGCTCCCTTACTCCTTGCTCTTTGTTAACGTATTCCAGTCCCTCCTTCATGCAGAGCTTCTTGATCTCCTGCGCTGTCATCTCTGAGTATTTCTTCCWGACGTTGAGCACATATTATATCACTTCTTCCCTACGGCAGGTTGCCGGAACTTTCTTGTCCACTCCTTGTCCCTTTGCGCTCGCACTTTGCTTCTCTGGTCTCGGCGCCACCTCTCCCTCATCATCTATCTCTTCCGGTGACCCCATCCTTCTCGCTGTTCTCTGCCCTCTATTCTTTCGGGTCAAAAACCACCTCCCACGCTCCTCTCCCTCTCGGGAGCTCTCGACAACCTCTCCTTGCAGGTACTTCAGAAGCTCATCAGATTCTGCAACATGGTAATCCAATAACTTCGCCTTTCCTTTCCCCTTTTCTTTGGGGGTCCTCGATCTGGCTGCCAGCGCCGTCTGTATGTCATTACGGATTTMTGCTCTGAAGTGATGCATTTCCCTTGCTACGGTAGAGATGATCCGTAGCTCAGTCTCCTCGTTGAGTCTTCTCAGCTCTGTCTGCCTGCGTTCTTGCTCCTGCCGGAGCCTCCTCTCCTCCTCTTCTCTTCTCACCTTTTCTTCTTCTTCCCGCTTCTTTTCCATTTTCTCTTGTTCCTTCCTCAGCTTCATCTGCATCCATTCCTTCATAGTTTTCACATCAACTTCAAAGCTCACGCCTATTCTTCCAGTACCTAGCGTTATTAGTAAACGAGCCTTGCTGCTGCTGCTGCTGGGGAGTGCCCGCGGTACCTCCAGCGGGGCAGTCCCTAGCAAAGTGGCCAATTTGTCCACAGTTGAAGCAACCCCTATTGCCAGCATTGTTCCCCATTCCATCTCCCCTGTTCGGTGTCGACATCGCACCTACCTTCTTGTCTTGGTTCGTTATCGCTAATATCTGTCACCGCTCTTCTCACAGCGTCTTCAGTCACTCAGACTCGACTACTTCCGGTCACGCTTAACAACGCCAATATCGCTAATATCTGTCACCGCTCTTCTCACAGCGTCTTCAACCACTCAGACTCGACTACTTCCGGTCACGCTTAACAACGCCACTACTTATGTCTAACCTCCCAATGTCGACGTAGCCACCAACGTAAGTGTCGCCTCTCACTCGGTTGCTACGCTTCCATGAAGATAGAAGACAAGCAATGGCCAATTGCCTTTTACACACAAATCAGTATATTTCAAAATGTATCAGCGTGTACGCATGCTTCGAAACGCGCACGCATTCCTCTACGTTTCAACCGGGTGCGCTCCGGTCTCATCAGGAGGCATGCCACAAACCCAGCGCCTTGGGGCCCACCTACACTTACCACCCATGAGCGTATGAGGGCCGTTCTGGCCTTGCCCTCAATTAATACCTACAGCATTCCCTTGCACACACCCGTCACATTCTCTTGGAAGTCCTGATTGGCTAAACCATCATGCGTCGGATCCGCGTACGGACCTCCGCAGCCAGCTCAATCTCTCATACGTGTGTACGACCCGTGTGCTAGACTGCCATGCTCTTCCCAGGTAGTTCACGTATTCGCTCTGATCCGTAGGTACCTGGTGTTTCAAATTCGTAGCCTACACTTCCTATTCCCGCCGGAAATCCGTTACTCCGCCTGTCTCCACTGTGCCCTACGCGTACCTCAGTTTCCCTCCGAATTCTGAAACAACGCGGGCACTGATACCGCCACAGCGTGCCCGTTTTCCAATCGTTGGTGCCCGCCTATCGTGCGTGTTGTAACGGACTAGAAATTATCCTAACCCCTACTGACTATCGTACAGCCGCTATCTGCGGGTCCTACCAGGTGTATTCCTCGGACTAATCTACAKCACACCCAGGCTATTGTACATTTCCCCGTATCTAATACCCAGCACTGCCATGGTCTCATTACTCCTCCATCCGCCACGTATCACAAATTCTCACCGAACTTTGAAAACCCCGYGGGCACAGGGACTACTACAACGCGCCAAATTTTTCAAACGTTGGCGCTCACAACCGTACGTACTTTCTAAAACTGACTAGGAATTACGCAGTCCTCCCAATTTTTTTTACGTCTGCCCCACCGTATTTTAATTTACAATATTACCCCGTTTTTCTCGTATTTCCTACATATTTTCTGCGTATGCCCCCGCCTAGCCGCTATTCCCAAAAACATCCAGCACACCGAAATTAATGGTTTACTCTATTAGTCTAAGACACTCCAGCGGCGGGGCCGTCTCCCCCCTCTCTCTCACCCCTCACCCGCTGTCCTATTCTCGTATGCTAGAATCCTACCCGTACCTAATAACCTCGGCCTTATACCACGCTGTCGAGGAGCAGTCTCCATGCAGCCATGCTCCCTCGCCAGCGGTGGTACCCCTGGTTAACTTCGTGCAGGGAGGATGCGAAGAACGCCGGGGTATAACCCCGGTGTCTCACTTCCAGCTTGACGGTCAGTACCGGTACAACCACAGCACTGCCGGAGTTGGCCATGCGATAAATTATGTGGAATG